TACTTACTTCTTACTTACTTACTTCTTACTTACTTCTTACTTACTTAGTTCTTACTTACTTACTTACTTCTTACTTACTTATTTCTTACTTACTTACTTACTTCTTACTTACTTACTTCTTACTTACTTACTTCTTACTTACTTACTTACTTACTTACTTACTACTTACTTCTTACTTACTTACTACTTACTTACTTACTTAAAATAAATGAGGATAGAAAACAGAAGAATAATCGGCCTAAAAGTAATATGAAGATGAAGACATGAATGTTAAACAAGCAACAGTTTGAATTTGATGAAAGGGATGAGAAGGCAAGAAAAGGTCATTTCACTCTAATTTACAAAAGAAAAAACAATTAGTTGTGAAATTTTACTGAGCTGCAAATTCAAAGGGTTGAAAACACAGAAAGAAGCAGCAAAAAGAAGAAAAACAAACTAACAAGGACCTGCAGCTACGAGTTCAAAAAAATATTCCAGATAAATGCTTACATATTCTGAATAATAAAACGAGAGAGTAAACAAATCAAGCAGGACGTGTGCAGAGTTCATGAAAAGAAAAGAAGTATCAGGACGTCGSAGGTCGAGGGTCTCGCAGAGTGCTGACTGAGACAAAGACCATCGATCTGACACCAGCAGATAATTCATCAACACGGCCAAAGGTAGTGGAGGAAAAAAAAACAGAAAAGAGACCCTCTTCATCCCCCAAACATCCTGCTTTCTTCTGCTGTTTATAAAGCAACAGTCCTCCTCATTGATTAGCTGCAGGCCTGTGACTGAGAGAGCAAACTCAATCATGTGTCCACAGCAAATTAAAGGAGTGCAGGCGGGCTGCGCTCACATCAGGGATCTGTTGATTTCAATGAAAGCCCAGCAGAGCCGGAGCGCTGGAAGACAGGATGATTATACTAATCATCAGCTCAGCTGCTAATGAAATGATTCTCTCTCCTCTGCTTAAAGAAAGCCTCTTCTGACCGGCGCCGGGCTTTTTCCACAGAGCGAGGGGCCGAGAGCCAGGAGGGAGTCACTGAGAGAGGGGGGTGGGGGTGTGAGGAAACAGATAGGTGCCTGCATATATTTGACTACTATGTTTTTTTTTTTCTTCTTCAGGATGTGACTGCTGGGACTTCACTTTGTCCAACTGGTGGTTTTCAACTAAAACTGTAGGTCCTCCTGTGAGGACTCCGTCCGACACAATATTTCAGCTCTGCTTCAGTGACGTTTTATAAAGTCTGGCAGCTTCTCTCAGATTACTGWAAAACTGCACTGATTACAAGTCATTATTGCAAATGTTAGAAAAACTGAGCTGCCGAAAATTGCCGTAAATGCAAGAAAAGCTGCACCGCGTAAATCTAAAAAAAATTAAAAAAAAAAACTGTAGAAAAGCTCTGCTGTTTTGAATACATGACTACATGTTTAAAAAGTATGCGCTGCTTCAGATATGTTTCTGTAAATGCAAGAGAAGGTAGTTGCCTGAAATGAAACACTGAAAAATTGTAGAAAAGTTGCATCATCATCCCAACTGCAGGAGAAACTGCAGAGCCCCCATCACCATCCACAATAAATAAAAACTACCATGGGAAAACATGTAACATTAATACAAATAAATAAAAATATACACACAGTTGTCAATTTTAAAATAAACTCTTTTTTTTTCTATTGGAATTGAACAACTGATTTGGGTCCAATCAGGACTTCATTTGGGTCCGGATCTGGACCTCGGTCCACCATTTGGACACCTCTGAACTAAACAGAGCATTAAGAAATAAAAAAAAATGTAATAAAGTGTGTTCGTGTCAGTTTTTGGTGCAGAGACAAAAAAGACTGATGTGACCTCATGATCCCCCCGGGGCCAGAGGGGAAGGAGGAGGAGGGGGGGAAG